GCCCTATGCCAGCCGTTCCCAGAATGCAAGCAGGAGCAAAGCTGTCTCCCGCAGGCATGCCTACCTGACCTCTCTGCCAAACCAGCCACATCCAAAGCCCGGTTTGAAAGGTTTCCGGTTTACCCACATAGGCTTTTTGGCTAAGGCTGGCCTGTGGGATGTGGATGTTTTAGAGACCTAAAAGCCAAGGCCTATTACATGCATGTGATGAACGAGGTACTCTGGCATATCAGGAGGTCGGCGTTGCTCCCATTTAACACAGGAAGGCACCAGAGCAGAGAGGGATGCAGCTAACCTTGGGTGGCATCGTGTGAGAGAGGTCCACCGGGGTTGGAGCCCACATGCACACTGGCTCCTGAACAGGACACCTGCAGTAGGGGGAAGAAGGGTTTCCACCTTGTAGCATAAGCATCAAAGAGCCCTGGTGGCATCGTGGATTACTGCAAGTTCAGCAGCTCAAAACCACCAGTCACTCCAAGTGAGAAAGATGAGGCTTTCTACTCCCTGTCCTAGAAGGTCGTCATGGTTCGGCATTGGCTCGATGGCAGTGAGCGAGCGAGTGAGCGAGCATAAACAGTCTTGTCCTGGGTCAGGTGGTGCTGGCTGAACTCTGGCTGCAGATTAGAATCACCAGGAACTTCCTAAAACCCAACGCTCAAGTCATACCCCAGAGTAACTAAAGCAGCCCCCGAGGGCAGCAGCACTTGCAGGCTCTCTTAGGATCCTGATGTGCTGCCCAGCTGAGGACGGCTGAGGACTGTTGGTCAGAACCTACTGGAGTTGAGGCTACAGCCGCTGGTAGAGGGTAAAGATGGAGATGGCAGGTGGGCACACCTGCCCGTTCTATGCTCCCTGCCAGGGCAGGCTAGCCCCTAAGGGGCAGGTAGTACAAGTAGAGCCATCTTAAGAACTGAGGCTACGATGTGTCCTAGCTGAGCCCAGTCAATAGGGCCTCTGCCTGGTTCAGCCACTAGCAACCTCGGGAGTGGACTGCAGGGCCATGCACTTGACATTGGAGGACAGCAGCTTCCATTTAGGGGATGCGTGTGTGTAGCTAAGGCCTGGTCAGTGAGTAGCCTGCTCTGATTCACAATGAAGGCCAGGACCGTTGGCAGAAGGCCGGGCTGGCTTTGTTTGGAAGTTTGTGTGGGACAAGGGAGACTTGAGTTCTCTACCCCAGGAACCCTTTTCTTAGGTGAGCAGCCTGACCCTCCCAGGCTGGTTACCCTCCTTCCCACTGTCCACCTCCTGGTCAAACTCTCTCTACCGGGCAGGATCACCGCAGGGTGGACACTAACAAGGGGACATGTAGGGGTTGTTCAGAGCTTGGCCTCAAGTTGCAGACAGCCAGGCCCTACCCTTTCTAGAAAAAGACGAGTTTGTGTCTTTGGGGCGCACACAGTTGTGCTAGACAGCACCTGAGTGGGCTAGTTCGAGGCCTCAGCATGGCCCTGGGGGGTTAGAAGTCGATACAGGCAAGACCCTACTTGGTCCTAAGGACTTGGGCACACTGAGTCCCCAGAAGCCGTGATGTGAGACCAAGGCGGCATGACCACATGAGATCCAAACTTGGGGTTCCACTCCCGACTTCTGTCCTCGATGTCCCAGGAGTTTCTGGGTGCTGTTTGCACAGTTTCCAGCCACATGCTATGAGCCTGACAGGGAAGTCTGCATGGCCCCACTGGGCTGTACCCCACTGGCACTGGTGCGCACGGGAGATGGGGAGTAGGCTTTGCCAAATCCAGACCAGCCGGAGGGGACTTCCCCGTAAGCAGATGCCTCCCATGCGACCGAGATGGATCAACTGACAGCTCCCCACTCCCACATCCCCTCTCGGAGCTCAGCCATGTCTTCCCTCCCTCACGAGCCCTGCTGACCTAGCTTCTGAAAACAGAAGAACTCCTACGTCAACCCACCTCCCCTCGTCTGGTACCCACATGCCGCTTCTCCTTAGAGTTCTTGTCACATCCGATCCTTCCCCTGCTTCACTCACTCGAGAACATTCCTTTGAACAGTGGTTCTCAACCTTCCTCAGGCCGCGACCCTTCCATACAGTTCCTCATGTGGGGGTGACGCCCCTACCATTATTCTCGTTGCTACTTCATCACTGTCATTTTGCTACTGTGATGAATCGGGTGACCTCTGTGAAAGGGTCGTTCGAACCCCAAAGGGGTTGAGACCCACAGGTTGAGAACCGCTGCTTTAGAATGTCGCCTGTTCCCTCCTGTAGGAAGTCTTGGAATCACGCCATCAGTGTGCAAACAAGCAACAAGGCCTGTCTAAGACGTGGTTCTATGACCCGCTCCTCCGCCTCTGTGCCTTAGCGCCTGTCTCCACGTCTCCTCTCCCTTCAACCTACCCACGTCCAAGAGAAGCAGATCCGTCTTGCAGGAAGTACGGCCAGAATGCTCGTTAGAGACAGGGACGGCGACTGTCTCACGTACTATGGACATGTTGTCAGGAGACCAGGCCCTGCTTGGTCAAGTGGAGGGACAGTGAGTGAGAGAGAGGCCCTTGGCGAGATGGACAGACAGTGGCTGCAACGATGGGCTCACACCTGGGGACAACTGTGAGGATGGAGCCGGACCAGGCGGTGTCTCGTTCTGCTGCGCTGCCTGGATGGCAACCTCACAGCAAGCATCCGCCCCTGGGTCAAGCCAACCATTCTCGGGGGCGTCGGCCGTCTGACTCTACCCAGGGGTGCCTTGGAAGAAAGGCCAGATGTACTTTGAGAAAAAGCCACGGAAACCCCGGAGCACAGTGCTACCCTGCCACACATGGGCCAGCTGGATGTTGACGGTTTGCTTGGTCTTCCTGACCCAGCGGGATCGTTCCACAAGACATGTGGGGCTTCTTGGTGGCCCTTATTCTAAAACCAGGAGACTCTTGTCACCAGGATGCCCTATCTAGAACGACTTTAGCTCGGACAGAGCTTCAGTTCTGACCTCCATGATGATTAAGGCTCTTAAGCATCACCACCACCTATGGACCGGTCGCTCGCAGTGAGTGGCCAGGCTGCTGGCTTGACCCTGCATGTGCAGGGCCA